CATCCATCCATCCATCCATCCATCCATCCATCCATCCATCCATCCATATATGTGTGTGTGTAGTCCCCTAATAACTGTAGCTTCTTAAAGTGTTAGTGTAGATTAATTTTTTGGTCAACATTAAAGTTTGTTTTCGATAATGTGACAAAACTTTTGAGACTAAAGAGTGACAGCGGTGGATGTAGAGGACAGAGTGAGATGGAGGAGGACTCATCTTGGTGACCGCTGAAGAGGGAACAACCGAAAGAAAAAGATTTTCTATTCGTTAAAAAGGATAGTTTTTCTAAAGGAGGGGAAATCACATTAAAGTATTCTTCATTAAAATATGAAGTTTATTCATATTTCAGTTTAATCATTTATTTATTATAATATAAAATAAAATAAAAAGCTCGAGTGACAATTTGCACTAAATAGTTTCCTTAAGTTCAGGTTCTGACCCACTGCTCCACCTGCGTGTATCTCACATGTGATGGGTTAAATGCAGAGAACCATTGTATGGAAATGATGACAACACATAGCACTTTACTTTATTATTTTTTTCTTTCTTCTTCTTTCGGCTGCTCCCTTCTTCAGAGGTCGCCACAGCGAACTAAGTTGCACGAAGATTTGGCAAGTTTTTTTACGCCGGATGCCCTTCCTGACCACCGAGCTACCACAGCCCTCTGTGTGGAGCAGAGAGCTGCCATTTAGAGCGCTCGGGGGAGCAGGTGATGGGGGTTAAGAGCCTTGCTCAAGGGCCCAGAGTGGAGCAAATGAGGGTGGAGACAGGTGTGGGTGTTTCACCTATCCCACCCACATTTTTTGATGTTGTTGGTACCGGGAGTTGAATCGACGATCTTCCGATCACAGGCCCACCTTCTCTAACCTCTTCATCACCACTTCCTAACACATAGCACTTTACTTAACTTTACCAAATAACATCAGCAAAGACTTGTGAATATTGTTGTTCCAAATGCACAAATATTAATACCCCCCCCCCCCCCCAAAAAAAAGCAACAAAGAAAAAAAACATGAGTACAATGAAAGCTTAAGTATAAATGTACTCCCCTCCCCCCTCCAGCAATTTAGGATTGCTTTAATTTGATAACAATCATGACAAAAGTGAGTAGTGAGTAGTTTTCAGGTCTTTCTTGTAAATGAGTCCCTGCGGCTCAGTGGGATTAACCTGTATAAATAAAGGTTGAATGAATGATAAAGTAAAGTGAGCTCCCAACCCTAACTTTAAGAACCATAGAAGAAGAGCATTTGCTAATAGCAAAACAGAGACTCAAACAATGAGGAGACATTATGTGAAGACACTTTAGCTTGTCTCAAATTGTAACACCTCAAATTAGTGAGTGACAAACAATGACTGACAGATGGTTCAGCCAATCAGCTGACAAATATTGCCAAGATGCTGCCCTGTTCCAAACAGTCAACAAACGGCTTTCAAGACGGTTCTGCGCAGCTAACCATCTGGCACAACAGGTTTAATGACAATACCAACATGCTACAAGTGCATTATGAATGACTTAGATAACTCTTTGAGCAACCTCAGTTTGGAGGAATAGAGATTTTTTTCTGAAGGAGTGGATGGGCTGACAAGAGCCGGGTCAAAGACCAGAACAGCTTGCTGCTGTCTTAAAAACAACTCTAATCATTACATTTGTTTGTGCATTACATGGTCATTTGGTGGCCGGAGCCAGTTGTAGCACATCTGGTGCAGTCTGATGCCCCTTTGGAAGAAATATCATGATTTTTCGGCTGGAATAACTACGTAATGTAAAAATTATCAAAGTTTAAAGTTTTATAAAAATAACGCTCACAGGAACTACTATGAATTTTTGAGAATGCAGTTGTTTTAGGATGACAGCACTCCACTTTACTTACCTTACTCAGACTAGCTGCTAGCTCACCGATCCAGTCAGAATTAAACTTTGTTTCTCCAAACTGAGTTTGCTCAAAGTGCCACCTACAACAAGCGACATATTATTTGTTTAACTCCTTTGCCCAGAACTAGGCCTGTCGCGATAAACAATAAATCAATTAATTGCATGATAAATGAAAATCATCGACCTCATTTTCATTTATCAGCTTTATCGTTTCTTCGTGTCTCTCTCTTTCTACTGAAGACACTGGATGACAACAAAAGGCTCAACTCCGGTGCTCTTCAATAAAAAGTTTTTCTCTGCAAAAAGAAGCTGAGAACTTGTTTACTGATTTTTATTTTTATTAAAACTTTGTATAAAAAATAAATGCTAAAGAGCTCAAACTACACCGAGCGTCCGCCATTTTGAGAACCGAAGAGAGACAACCCATGTCACGTCAAGGGGCCTCCCTCCCGTTTTTCTTAAAGAGACACAATGCTCGCTCCCTCACTATCCATCCTTCGGTTAAAACTGTCTTATACTGCCATCTGGTGGTCAAAAAAGGTACTACACATAAAACAAATTGACAAACATTTCTTCTTAAATTTGACAAGAATTACTAATTATTTTTGAATTTCAAACAATATTATCATTTATCGGCAGCACGGTGGCACAACTGGTAGAGCTGCTGCGTCTCAGCAAGCAGGTCCCCGGTTCAAATCCCGGTCCGGAGGCCTTTCTGTGTGGAGTTTGCATGTTCCTACCGTGCATGCGTGGGTTTTCTCTAGTTACTCCGGTTTCCTCCACCAGACCAAAAACATGCATGTTAGTCTGATTGGTAACTCTAAATTGTCCCTAGATGAGAGTGGGAGAGTGAATGGTTGTTTGTCTCTATGTGTCCCTATGATGGACTTGCGACCTGTCCAGGGTGTACCCCGCCCCTCGCACAGTGATTGCTGGACATGGGCACCGGCGACCCCCGTGGCCCAAAATGGAAAAAGTGGGTAAAAGATAATGGATGGATGGATGGATTATGATTTATCGCAATAATTTCTGAGACAATTAATCGCCCAGCAAAATTGGTTATTGTGACAGGCCTACCCAGAACCCAACCTCAAAATATCTAAAATATTCCTTTAATAACCATTAATGATGTTAAATTTCAAGCTAAAATAAACTGTTGACCTGAGCATAGATGGCAAAGAAAAAACAAATGACCGCACAAAAAGAGCCTTTTCCAATAGATACCAGATATGTTCAGTTTATCGTTCGATCTCTCATCCATGTCCAAATTATTGATCCCCCTGCCCGCTCCGTCACCTAGATAACCTCGCTGCCATCATGTACCCTACATATTTGATATGGGAGCTATTTTTAAAACTTGGGTCTTTCAGCTGTATGAAAAATTGAAAAGGACTGAAGGAGGGAGGGAGTGAGAGACGAAGGGAAGGCGGCGGGGAGAGGCCAAGAAAAGGAGAGGATGGAGTGTGGCGGAAAGAGGGAGGGAGAGAAAGATTTACTGTAAGAGAGACAAATGTCAGAGGAAAGGGGAGGTGGAGGGACGGCCACGTGGGAGGAAAAAGATCGGAGACGGAAAGAAAAAGAGATGGTAAGTGAGGGAGCGGTACAAAGATGACCTTTTATTGCTTTCACTCAAATAACATGGCACTCTGTCACAACAAAGGCTGATGCAGGGATGTTATAGATGTGGAGTGTAACACTATAACAACTCCAGGTAAATCCTAAAACACCAAACCAAAACCAGCAAAAGCACCTCCGCTGCAGTGCAGCACACAGACATACGCACCCTCTTGGTGAGCTGGGTATCCATCATGAAGTTGTGCACATGTTTCTCGGCCTTGGTCAGCTCCAGCTTCCTGGCTACCACGGCAACCACCAGAGCGGTACAGCCCGCGCCCTGAGGAGAGGAGAACACAGAGGCAGTCAGATTACATCGATTACTTAAAAAAAAAAATTCTTCATACTGGGGCGTTAGCCCCGAAAAATGGAAGGATTGTAAGGGCAAACATGGGGACTGGAGCTGAATGACAGAAGGAGAAGTGAACAGGAGAGAGGAGAGGATTAGGAGGGATAGCACTGCTCCAGATTTCTCCCTGTTGAGAGGCAAGCCAAGTCTATTTTCACTTCCACTCCATCTGCTGTGTGATGCCTTCTATATTGCTTCTATATGTTGATAAAAACCATACCCCTTATAAATAAGAAAAAGGAGAAATCAAGGATTGACACCACCTACTTTCATTTAATTATATGCTGTCCGTCTGAATTACATGGTGTCAGTCGTCTCCTCTCACCGGAGACTCGAGGCCTGCAGGACGTGTAAAAGTGTAAAACACAGACAGGTCTGTCTGTATCCCAGCTCAACCCACGTGGGACATGTGGCGAATTCATTTGGGGATAGAGTGACAGCAGTCTCTCAACCAGAAAGACGTGCTTGAGAGGAGAAGAGGAGCAGGAACACAAGGAGGAAGACAGACTTAATTAACTTCCAGATTAGGCTGTGTTTCGAGCAGGGCTGCTGAGTGCTCACCAGTTCCTGTGAAGGGCGGCAAACAGCGGGAGGAGAGAACGAGAAGAAATGGAGGAAAAGATAAAGGGACTGAAGAGATATGGGTAAATAAAAACGGGGGAAGGAAGGAAACCTGGAGCGAGGTATGAATGCAGGGAGGCAAGGATGTGCGCACGCAATAGGAGGAGAGAAAGATGAAGGAGGAGGCAGTGTTAATGAGGTCACACGTCTCCTGATAGGCAATGAATTAAGACTAGGAGTGTTTAATGAAAGTGCACAAGTGTCTTCTTCGCTGCTTGTGCGTGCCCGCATCTCACAGGGGAGGGACGGAAGAAGAGGTATAAGACGAGAAGCGCCACTTGGAGTGTGCAACACTCCTGAGATGTGTAGGAAGCAGCCAGAAATCCGTGCACGCACTTTACAAGACAAGATGAGGTTTGCCAAAAATAAGTTTGGCTGGTTTCAGTGAGATGTAACACACAAACAGGCATTAGTGCCCACATCGATACACTCATCCACTTTGTGTTTATAAAAAAAACTATGAATAAAACATGATGAGAGCCAAAGGAAAACCCTTTAGAGCATTCATACATGTCTGCGCTTAAGGAAAAATAGCCCTCAATGAAACGAGCAGCAGCGGCAGCGTGGTGTGCATGTGCGTCCTCCGCGGTCAGGAACAGCAGGAGCCTGATTGGTCCATCAGGCAGCCTCTGTGTGTATGAGCGTTCACGTTTTAGAGATTTAGTGCATGTGTGTGTGTGTGTGTATGGGAGGTTATTTGTGTATGCGCCCGCATCCATTTGACTTCAACGGGGTTCCCCTCTGCAGTCTCCACGAGTGGCACGGCTCATGATGGCTGTGCTGCTGTGATTAGTTTTATACGCCAGTCGGGGTGTTTCCCTTGCTTTCTGCTGTACGGCACGGTCCTCTACCAAGCTGTCGGAAAAACGAGGAAACACCCTACTGTGCTTATTTAAGACATGCACACACTCAATGAAACTTTGATGGAGATATATGAGACAAGCTGAATGTTTCCTCAGCTTGAGAAAAGATATATTTGAGCATCTAAAGTCACTACGAGCTCAAAGTGTCTAAAAGTGAAATCCTCACTTTATTTTGAGTTCCCTTGGTTTGACGGATCTCATGGTTTCATCCACATACCAAAACATGTACCAGACTTGCCGCCATACACGTCGCACCGCCGTATAAGTCACATCAGTCCAAATATGTCTAATAAAGTGAGAAGAAAATAAAAACAACTAAATAAGTCGCTTCGTCGTATAAGTCGCATCTATTATGCGTCACTGCTGACCACCCGGAAACGTGGGCCGGTGTTGTGCCAAAAAAGCGATTGGCTGCCAAATGGCGGCCGCGGGAGCATGCACAGGAGGACTTTAACAATAATTTAACAAGATTAACACTTAAAAACAATTAGTTTGCTCGACATTATAGCAAAGGTGTGTCTCAGTTGAACTTTTCCTTAATAAATTCACTTTAACGGTCAAATCAGCTGCATTTCTCATGGGCGGCATGGCAAAATGCAGCTGATGTTTGCTCCATAAGTTCCAGAGCAAGATGAAGGAGGCTTGTATGGCAAGCCAAGTGTCTCATTAATAGCCACTTTTACCTATTAATGAGACACTTGGCTTGCCATATTAGTCAACCGCCCTCTAGTGGCTGAAAATGTTAGTGTACAATTTTTTCCTTGTCAGAATGAATGAAATCGTCAGATCTCAGACAAAAATTGGGTTATAAATGTGGGGAAAAAACATAAATAAGTCACTTTGCTGTATAAGTCGCAGGACATGCTAATTTATGCAAAAAGGTGCGACTTATACGGCGAAAAACACGGTATGTTAAATTGATTGGTAACTCTAAATTGTCTCTTGGTGTGGGTGAGTATGAACGATTGTCTCGCTTGTCTCTGTGTTTCTGTGATGGGGCTTGGAACGTGTCTAGGGTGCCCCCCCACCACACACACACACACACACACCCACCTCTCGTACAGTGACTGCTGGAGACAGGCACCAGCTCCCCACGACCCGGAAAGGAGAAGCGGATTAAGAAAAAGTACGTACAGACAGCTAAAAGATCACATTCAGTGGTTAATTCAGATTTGCAGGGAGACAATTTGACTCACTCTCATGCTTTGCAATCAACTGCAAAACCCTCTCAGTAATGATAAATCTCATTTAACGTCAGAAGAAAGCACAATCAAAATGTTCTACAAATGCTGCGCGCTCCGTTTTTACATTACTGATTGGAAATGTGACTTCTTGGTGCCATTTCTTCTCGTTTTTTTCCAACTATGAAGACGAAAAATTCAGCTCAATGCACAACTTTGACAGAAGCAGACAAGATTAGAAGTTTTTTTAAAAACAATAAATGTAGTATTGCTTGAAGGTAGCCACTTCGTATGCCAAAGTTTTAATTGAAGATCTTGTGTGAGCTGTTGGTGATTAAAATAAGTGTTGGGGATGACTCTCGGCAACTACCTCACCAAATATTAGCTTAATTTTTTCAAAACAAAGTTAGATGTAGGTATTCTTAAGTTTGCAAAGGTTAGTTAGCTGTGGTGGCCATTATGAATGGGACTGACTCCAAATGTCACTCAGCGGGAAGATACACAATCCCTCCAGTGTGTTCTGGGTCTTCCTCTGGGCCACCAGTCACCAGAGGTCACTGTAAAAACAACTATAGTGACTGTAAAGCCCACATTTCTCAGCTTTCAGAAACTTTCAGTTTGGGCTATCAGAAAAATTCCATATTAAAGTTACGGTGATGCAAACTGAGCTTGTAAAAAATAAATTAAAAATAACAAGTCAGCGGCAACACGCTCGGAATAAAAGATAAACATTTTGTTGTTGGAGTTCAGGTATGTTTATTCATTGATTCAGCCACCAACCATCATTTATTAGGTTGAAGATCTTTGCTTATTGGATTAAATATTGCTTGAGGGATTGTGTGTGTTTGTATTTGATACTTTGTAAGATTTATTGTTCAAGGTTATTTATTGTCATTCGCATCAAATGTGGTACATGAGCTAGAATAAAATTGTGTTCAGTGTCAGCAGTTCCAACCCTTATTACGTTGTGAGGACCCTCTGCTCCTTATGAGGCTGAAAGCCCAGGCCCTATAAGAAGCAGTGCCGTTTATGGGTTAGGGTTAGGACTAAGGTGTGAATGAATGGGTCAGGGTTAGACAAAAAAAAAAAGAAAAAAAAAAAAGAATGGAATCTATTTTGGCAATATATTTTTGATACCCCCTCTGGGATATGTGGAAAAACTGCATCCATCACCGTTCATACTGTTCAGGGTGGTACCTCCCTGTGGATACGTCCTTCAGCAAGTATGAGAAGGATGCGATTGCTTTTGGCTCTCATCTGGCCAGAAGACTGGTTTTGTGTAATTGGAAGGACCCACCCCCCAGCATATGTACATTGGATAAGAGAAGTGATGTATTATATCCATCTAGAACAAACAAGATATCCCCTGAAGGGTTCTGTTAAAAGATTTGGGGACACTTGGCAGCCTTTTATGTTGTATGTGGAAAACTTGTCTGTGTAATTCATTTTAATTCATTTATGTATTTGTGACTGATCCAGTGTGGGAAGGAAGAGGCGAGAGGTTTTTTTTTTGTTTTATGTTCTTTGTGTTTTGTACGCTCAAAGAGAAAAATTAATAAAAAGACTTTGATTAAAAAAAAAAAAAAAAAAGAATGGAAGTCAATGGAAAGTCCCTGTAAATATAGAAAAACCTACTCTCTGTGTGTGTGTGTGTGTGTGTGTGGTGATGGGGGTAATTTAAATGCACAAAGGTTCCAGTACAAGTAAACGATCTAATCTTTAGTTGCTGTGACCATCATTAATGGACAAATGGCGATTCATGGTTTGTAGACACAGATGTGGCGTTTGCATCGTTTTTATGTCTATATTCTGATTTACCTCATTTTGTATTTTGCTTGGTGTGTTACCTGTTGTTTTGTCTGTACAGCACTTTGGTTGGCCTTGTAGCTGTTTTAAGTGCTTTATAAATAAAGTGGTATGGTATGGTTTGAGGGGAAGCTCATAGTTTCTATTTGTTTGTGTACTTGTTAATTTTTACCTACCTGGTAGGTTTCTCAGGTGCTCCGGTGACCCCCCCTGGATCTTAGCCAGCACTGATGCAGCCACAACTCAGTTAATTTAAACTAATCATGAATGGATTCTGAGGTAAACGTGTCATTAAAGTGTTAAATGTGCTGCTTTCACTGGCATGTACCATATTTTCCGCCATACATGTCGCACCTCTGTATAAGTCGCATCAGTACCAATGTCTCTAATAAAGTGGAAAAATCCATAAATACGTCACTTCGCCATATATGTCGCATCTATTATGCGTCACCATTGACCA